TACTGTGAAAATTCAATGAGTTTTGATTGACAGAAAGATTACCTAATAAACCTTCACCACAAACTAATTAATCACTTGGAATACAACACTAAATTGGCAAGCATGAAAAAGCAAATGAGATGGGTGTTGAACGCCATTTTTAAATGACCTTAGATGAAAGCCAAGTCCAGCATATTGAATCCATCAATAATGTTATGTCGCTAGTAAAGTTTTGCTTTTATTAATCCCATATGTTTGTAACAAGCATGTACATAGAAAACTATTTTAGTTCAGGGTGGGGTACAAAAATCCATTTCAAGATAAAAGTGAAAAGTGACTTATTAACCCCTTAAGGACACATGACATGTGTGACATGTCATGATTCCCTTTTATTCCAGAAGTTTGGTCCTTAATGGGGTTAAAGACTTGCCTATTATTTATATTGCTATATACAATCAAATGTGAATTCTAGAAAACTGAAAATATTAGGTTGAAATTGACAAGATAGAAAGCTACTTCATTTGGGAAATGTTTCTGTCTTGGTAAATGTGGCCTAAAATTTGCAACCTCCTTGTCGATTCTTTATAATTGACTTGGGAGTCATGTGCCTTCCATGTACTTTTTTAGTGTGAAACAGTGCAGATAATTTGTACAAAATAGCTGTTTAAAACTACTCTGACTTGTTTCAAACCTGAGAAGTGAGGACCAGACCAACATGGTGACAGCTAGGTCACACCTTATGGCCTAATGGGACAGATTTTTACCCAAGTCCTGCAGGGGATCAGCAGAGCTCGCATGTATGGCACTATAGTAACTTTTCTGAACCTTCTTCCCCACATATTCTGCACCTCTACAAGTGTGGTGGAGAGTACATAAAGACTTCCCAAATCCTTCATGTGAGTCTCGGAAGGCTGAAAGGACATGGCATTGGTACTATCAAATGGGCCAAATATTGCATTAAAAATATGATCAAATCATGCGCACATAAAAAAACCCTTTTTCTTGCCGCAAGTAACAAAAACAACGTAGAGGAAGGAAAATGAAACCTCAATTGCACTAATTTGGACTGTTGAGAATGCTCATGAAAATATATACCTATACCTATAATCTTCATTTCCGACCCTTTTGTCATTTTCCGCGAAATATAAATGATGATAATTGCAGTTCAGACACAATACCTACTTTGCTCTATAAACAATTGTAAAAAAACAGCTTTCCTGAAATTTAGAATCAACGCAAATGGATAAAAGAGATTTGATTTCTATCTGAAGGCTGACCCACGTCTTTCTCTTTTGTTTAGCCTCCACTTCTAATGTCCCCAAAGGTGCCCTTCAAACAGGGAGGTGCCGCCAGTTCTGTGACTGCGGTGAGCTAGTATAGGTTAAGGTGAGTTATTCTGCCAAAGCAGCAGCCTGCTCACATCTGCTAAACAGCATGAAATACCTGCCTGAATCCTGAGCCAGCAAAATGATTAATGAATGGATGTCAGAGTAATAATTCTACCCAGCACAATATAGTTCATAGCTCGGCTTGTTTTTTTTTTTGTTTTTTTTTCATGTGGAGGAAAGAAGGCAAATTTTTGCAATAAAAATAGCAGCATGCTAAAAAAGTAAGTCTTATGTACCAAAGACTTTCTCTTTTTTTAACCTCAGATTCTACAGTGTAGCCAGCTGTGTAAGTCATACCTTCAGCATTATAAATAGCAGCACAGATGTTGACACAAAAGAAAAATAGTCCCCCTTTAATTACCATACAAACAGCTTTCGGGGAGTGAATCACTTAAAGGGACCTCCCAAGGAAGTTCACTCGGGCAATGCCACATATTACACTTAATGAACAATATTTCCCAGTGCCTATTTAGTGCTCGTTAGAATGTAAAGGAATTTCATTTTCAACTAACAGACAATGAATAACCCGCTGAAATGAATACATCAAATAAGACAAGTGTGGAAGGTGGGACCCTATGAATTTGCACCTGTCAGTAAGAGCCAAATGTTTCTTGCTATGCTGGTACATATAGTCTGCACTAATTTAAACACACGCACATTATATGGTATTGCTGTGATCATTAGATACATCATACAGTGTCTAAACTTCAAACTGGCTTTACAGCCCATGAGAATTTCTTTTTAACATTTGACATAGCTTAAACAGGAATTTCGTTTCAAGATATGATCACATATTGCATAAGTCTGCCAGAATCATCAGTATATCCCATTTTTGGCAGGTCCTATCCTGTCCTTATCTAATGCTTGTGCTACTTCTATGGGATATTCATCCTATGTAAACGGACCACTAGAAGCACCCAGGCCACTTTATGTCAATGAATCTCAATGAATGTCAACTCATTGAATCTCAATGAAGTGGTGTGGGTGCTATGGCCCTGCCGGTTTTATCGCATTGTGTAAATCATTGCCGTTTTAGAGAAATGGCAATGTTTACATTGTGATGTTAAACACAGTTGTAATGGCTGTCTCCCTGACAGCTACTAGGGGGTGCTTCCAGACCCACCACTGAGTCAGACTCGGTTCTGCATGAGAATGTTCAAAGTCTCTGATGCTTCTCATAGATAAGTATTAAATTCATGCTTCTATATGAAAAGAATTTGATTGGTAGAGTGCGTGCAACTTTTTGTATCAAATGCTTTTCTGTGAGAAGTATTGGACTGGACAAAATGTCATCAAGCCTGATGACATCAGAGGAGATGATCAGGCTGCTTAGACGAGGCTGTCCCGGTGCTGGATTCGAGGTGAGTAAAGCATTATTTTAATGGATTTTGTTTTCATTAAACTGGAGGGCCCTGTAATCTAAAAATTCCTGCCCTGCTATTTAAGCAATATTTTTATTTTATTTTTTACTAAAGTGACTGTAAGTGCAACTTGGGACTTAAATGACGCACTTCTGAGAAGAATGGAGTTTTTCTCAATTATCCCATGTCATTTATAAACCAAATAGGCTGCACTTACCTTAAAAGGGAAACTGTCACTTATCTAGAATTTAAAACATTGAAATAAACGTAGAAAATCACCTATAACTTGTGTTAACCTCTTTTCATGAACTGCTCTCATGTAGACATTTATTATGGTTCTGCTGTGGCCAATAGATAAAACATACAAAATACAGTGCATTCAACTGGAGACTGGTTTTAAAGAATGCACGATTATTTTTAAAAACCAAGCATTATTGCTTAATAGTTTAAGAATGGTCAAGATTCATTAATACCATGCATTTATTTGATTTTTATACTTGCTTAATTTAATTTTAATTTTCTTCTCTCTCCTTTGTCCAGTTTTATTATATTTTATCTATTCCTCAAAGTGAAATAAAAAGAATTATACCTAATTACCAAAATCATAATAAAATACAAAACACTGTACTCTTTCATTCGAGAACATAAATAATAGATTATTTCACGTGATTATACTCTTAATTTTATAAACAACAAACATAATGTGTGCAAATAATTCAAATGTATTTTGTTCCTTTTTAGATTAATGTGCACAGATTCAGGAACATACTGTGTTCATGCTTGGGTACATATGTTATATAAAGCCCCGAGGCTTAAGTTCTTTTTGCAAGTGTTCCACCAAGAGAAGACTGGTTTCTAATGGTATTATGTATTGGTATAGCTGTGTTTCATGATCTAGTAAATTATTCTTCTCAAACAAATAGCACACAGTCACCAGCTTGCCTGTTTGCTTAGAGTGCAGCTGGCCCGCAAATATGTGGTGAATGTGTTTATAATTAAAGTTCATTTATTTATTATGACAGTCAGTTTACAAGTAACATTTTAGATATTATTGCACTGTTACAGAGTTATTCACTAAAATGAATTTCGAATAAAAATTGCCAAACTGTAAAAATTCTCTAAGTCGGCCGTGGTTTCAGTTAATCTACTCTGGCCTTAAATATTAAATTCACTTTGAATTCTCACTTTCGTAAATAGTTTTGTTAGTGTTAGATTACAGCTTATCTTGCTGTACCTTTTGATACGGGTATGCTGGCGCAGTTAATGTCCATACATACCCACAATACCTACCACACTACAGGTGGTCCTCACTTTGGAATCTACCTATTTTGCGATGGCTCACACTTACGACCAGCTCTCTAGAGTGGGGATTCAAGAAAATCCCCACGTTAGAGAGCTGGTCTATGTTCGGTAAGTGAGCATCTGTATAAGGATGTAGAGAGAGTTCACATGAACAAAAAAAGTAGCCCACTGCACAGATTGTGTCTGCATGTTATATACAATAGCCATTCAGAGCTTGTCTGAATGGTATCCAATGTATGTGGATAAAAGGTCCGCTTTAAAGAGAAACTATGGCTTCAGACTTATAGCAGATTAAAACTGCCTTTTGAACTTTTGTTATATTAGAATTTACTGCTAAAGTCACAGTGCTGGCACAGTCTGGCATTCAATGCAAATTCTAAATATGTCACAATTCTCTACTTACCTATGGCCATTTGTGTGCATGCAGCATCCATGGGATAAAGAAGCTAGCATTGTTTGTAACTTTCAGATTAGGATAGAGAGCCAAATGGTTTATTAGAATAACATAACCAAAACACATTTCCTACTATGAATGGTTATTACACTAGGCTTTTATCTTTTCATTTTAAACATGAATTTACAGCTATTCAATACAAAACATCAGAAGGTGGGAGGCAGGCCAAGCCAGTAAGCTGAGCAGTCGCATGAAAGCTGGGCTCTAATTTTACTTGCTAATTTCCTATAGATACTCACCAAACACAAGACAAAAAACAAACTGGGGTGCACTACCTAAATCAGGGGTGATCTGGTAACAAGCCTGATACCTTACCTGAGAGTTTTGGAGATCGGGAGCCCAAGGTGGCAAGACGCGGAGTACGAGTGGTGAAGCCGGGGATAGGTGGCCAATCTCCCCGTCCCTACATAGGAGGTGCAGACCCACCGACACTCTGCTCCCCCTCCACCCCCGGACTCTGGTGGGGGTTATCTCGGTCCAATCATGCAAGGCAACCCATCTGCAAAGGCCCCAAAGATGGCGCTCTGCGAGCAGTGGGAAGAAGCGAAGTCCTGCAAAATGACCGCCGCTGCCACGTGTGCTCGAACTGTTTTGAAACCTGACATCATGGCCAAGCTGGACGACCTATTCAATAAGTTTTGGAAGAAAAAAGCATCTAGGGAGCAGCAAGCTAAGGTACACAAACCTGTTAAACGCATACCCACAGTGTTGCCGGCACACTCCCAACATGAGTGCATACTCCCTCAAGTAAACAGAGCCCAAAAATGGCTCTGAAGATGATGAGGCTCCCCGTGGGCCTGCAAACCCATGCGACTGACCCTGCTGATGATGGCGCCCCACCGCAACAGACACCCTGCAAAATCCAGCCTACAAACAAAGCATGCAAAGGGGACACTTCAGCATCTGCATTCCACTCCACGCTGGGACCTGGCATTGCCTAAGGAGCCTGGGCGGCCCTCATTGAGCCTCCTCTACCTTCATCGTCCTGGGCACATCCCTGGAACTAGCACGGGACTCTGTAATCCTCCAATGGGGCATCGGCTGATCACGGTGAAGAGCTGAGGAACTTACCATTTCTGGCTGAAAAGAGTCCTCATAAAACCCACAAACACTGCAAGTTGTGGGGGCGGAAAAGTTTATTTAGATATGTAATGGGGGCGGGGGCGGAGGAACCTCATGGGACTTCTCTGGTGAAGTCACTCTGTGCAATTGCAAAGTTACCTAAGCTTGTTTCATTATCCTAAGTCTATCCTGACAATCTTCTTTGTTGCCTTGTTTAGCCTGATCTCATGTGTTTCTAACATGCAATCTCCATAGCAATCCAGATATGAATACTCTTGTTTTCTTCTTACTATCCCTAAAATGTGCATAATTGGTAATATCTTGTTTAATAATAACATTTGTACAAACCGACGTAAAATATTCATGAATACAGAGCCTGCTAGTTCATGTTTTAGCTTGTTAACCATACTCCGTTCATGAATATCTGGGCTGATAACGCGTGTTCCTATTATAAAGAAGTGGCCTCCTCATCTAGGAGTATCCTCTGTTATAAGTTGTTATTTATGCCATTTGTCTATCTGATTTAATTCCTTACTTACGGTACAATGTGCAACGTATGCCACAATAAAAGACAGATTGACAAAACATCAGAAAGTTATGAACAAAATTTGCAAAAACCTTTAAAAAAAACAGCAACCTCAAATAAGCTAAAACAAACCCCCAACATGTGTCTCCTCCAACTATAGAATAGTTCAAGAATTATTATTCATAAATAAGTCAGTCCGTTAGTCCAACACGCAACAAGGGGCAAGAGATTTTATATATATATAAAATACATAATGTATACTCATATATAAAATATATAATGTATACTCATATATAAAATGTATAATATATACTCATATATAAAATGTATAATGTATACTCATATATAAAATGTATAATATATACTCATATATAAAATGTATAATGTATACTCATATATAAAATGTATAATATATACTCATATATAAAATATATAATGTATACTCATATAAAAAAAATATATAATGTATACTCATATATATACAATGTATAATATATACTCATATATAAAATATATAATGTATACTCATATATAAAATGTATAATATATACTCATATATAAAATATATAATGTATACTCATATATAAAATATATAATGTATACTCATATATAAAATGTATAATATATACTCATATATAAAATATATAATGTATACTCATATATAAAATGTATAATATATACTCATATATAAAATATATAATATATACTCATATATAAAATATATAATGTATACTCATATATAAAATATATAATGTATACTCATATATAAAATATATAATGTATACTCATATATAAAATGTATAATATATACTCATATATAAAATATATAATGTATACTCATATATAAAATATATAATGTATACTCATATATAAAATGTATAATATATACTCATATATAAAATATATAATGTATACTCATATATAAAATATATAATGTATACTCATATATAAAATGTATAATATATACTCATATATAAAATATATAATATATACTCATATATAAAATATATAATGTATACTCATATATAAAATATATAATGTATACTCATATATAAAATGTATAATATATACTCATATATAAAATATATAATGTATACTCATATATAAAATATATAATGTATACTCATATATAAAATGTATAATATATACTCATATATAAAATATATAATGTATACTCATATATAAAATGTATAATATATACTCATATATAAAATATATAATATATACTCATATATAAAATATATAATGTATACTCATATATAAAATATATAATGTATACTCATATATATACAATGTATAATATATACTCATATATAAAATATATAATATATACTCATATATAAAATATATAATATATACTCATATATAAAATATATAATGTATACTCATATATAAAATATATAATGTATACTCATATATATACAATGTATAATATATACTCATATATAAAATGTGTAATATATACTCATATATAAAATATATAATATATACTCATATATAAAATGTGTAATATATACTCATATATAAAATGTATACTCATACTGTCTTTATTCTTTAAGGTTTCTTTTGTTATATTCTTGAAAACCTAACTGACCTTAAAAGAATTATTAGTAATGGCATCCATTCTTCAGTTCATGTTTTCCTCAACTATGAGATATTAATATCAAATAAATCTGGAAGATATGAAACAGAGCTAACAATAACTGTCAGTTCTAGAGACGTGTTTGGAAGAAAAATATCCCAATGTGAGGGGTACGGGCGGTCATTGTGCCGCATGAATCAACACGTGGTTGACTGAAATAAGTTTAGGAGTTAATATGGATGCAGGTGATTTTGTTAAACTGACCAAATAATGCAATCATGATATAAATGGCTCTCCATTTCAGCCAACGTCAGGAGAGAAACTGACAAAACCTGCGGCTATTTATAATCCCCGATGATAAATTCTGGCCAAGAATTGGCAATAATAGAAGACTAGGAAAACAAATATTTGATGGGGTAGAAAGCCCAGTTTGACAAGAGAACACAGCATATAACATATGTTTATCTTTGAATGATAGTGAAACACTTTTTTCGAAAATCCATTACAGGTAACGTGACCTACTTTGGAATTTCTTTTCTCACTCTCAATATAACCAGGTAGAGTACAATGGATCTGAATGGTTGTCCCACGTTGGGTGAGGTTCTGCAATTGTTTATTGGCTACAAATGTGCAGCTGCTCGTTTATTGGGTATATTAATCTACAAATGCAGAAAGATAAGTCCTGCGCTCACTCCCATCACTGGGCGGCAGCAATGACTACAGTACACATCAGCCCCAATATATGGTAAAAACCAAAGAAAATAAAAAGTTACCTGCGCTCTCTCCTTAATCCCTATGTATTTTTAAACAAATGGAGGTTTTTTAGTTACCTCCAATGGCCATTAGAGGATAAGCCCACCTGCCAACGTCAAGGCAGACCTTAATATTAATCTACAAAACTATTGAACATAATGACATTGTATCAGCCATTATAACAATAAAGAATTTCAGTACAAGAAACTTTTAAGGGATGGGTTTGAGCCTTTTGTGTTTTTTTAAAGTAGTTTCTATTTATTTAATTATGTGCATGCACAAATAGGGAATTCATATATGACCCCCTTTGTCCTCTTTTCAGTGGCCGAGTTGCAATGATACATTTGGTACTAGAACAATTTGTTCTACCAACAGTTAGATATCATAGCCGATGTTGACCTATGTTAAAGGCATGGTAAGTCATAGCTTTGTGGTCCATAGACTACAGCCACATAAGCCACATCATTTTGATCAAAAGGACAACAACTGCATAGTTAGGGCTACCATATACACCATGTTTTCAGGGACACATATAATTTTGTCATATTTATGAAAACACATGAAAAGGGGTAGCCCTGCAGTATGTAGAATGCATATTCTGCAGGATTCTTCATTGCCCAATTGCTTAATCTTATACACCTTCTTCTGCATTCTACATACTACAGGGCTGCCCATCAAAATGTATACTTGACATATGTCTCTAAAAACATGGTGGATATGGTAATCCTATGCATAGTACATATTGTTGACCAGGATTAAAAGAATTAAGAAAAAGTATAATAGCTATATTACCTTCTGTCATTGGCACAGTAAGCATTTTAGGTATATGCATGGAATCACCCCAGAAGGTACAGATTTGTGCTAAGAAAAACTTGCATTGCCATAGGGATCATACCTTAATCCAAACTAATTTGTAAAGAAAAAAAATGTTAGTTATCACTACAGAGGTTGTAATTGGCATTTTAAGAACCACTGGAGCACTGCAATATGTTTTATTTGGGTGTACCAAATATAAGTTGAATTTAGTTTCTTAGTTTTTATTTTACTTAATAGATAAGTATTTTCTGAAAAGAAAGAGTTTGTTGTAGAGTTTTAACAACCTGACCTCACTCTATGAATATATAGAAATATGATGTCTTAAAAAAGATCTCTGTTAAATCTCTGTTAAATCTTGGATTTAACGTAGAAAGAATAGCCAGAAACAAGCTGAAGTCAGGGACACAGACAGGAGCATAAACGAGAAGACAAAGCCAAAGGGTCAGGGATACCAGAAATACGCATAATCAGAATAAGCCAAGATCAAAAACCAGGAATAATAATACCAAACGCGCTCTCGGATAACCAAAGAAGTGGAAACCACAACAGGGCAAAGAAGGAATAAAGAAATGGGCTTATATAGCCCTTCCCTATCATTCATTGGTGGACAGGGGTTACCTGACTCCAGAACAGGCGTGATCTCTAACCCTGCTGGAGGCAGGGCTATATCTTATTCTGCTTTTACAGCATCCGGTGTCCACAGGAATGCCGCGCTCGCTGGGAATGGACGCGCCGGTGGATCTGGCCGTGATCCGCCGCAAATTAGGTAAGATTTGTATTTTGTTTAAGTGACTGCACCGATCGGGTGCGGTCACGTGGTGTCGCGGGCCGGGAGCCGTGACACGTGGGCGGTAAGGGAATTTTACCATAAAAAAGATACATACGTGGGTGGTAGTTATTAAATAGTTGACTACCACTGTCGTAGACCTATATGTCAACTGCCATGTACAAAGAAAACTTTAAAACTGCATTATGTCTGTTATGGGAATTTTGGGGCATATATAATTTCAGACCTTCTTATATCAACACAAAATA